CATGTAGTAGATGCCCACTTGTTTGAGGATCAGGGCCGTGTCGTGGTCCGCCAATCGTTGTTCCCCAGCACTGAGGTTTGGTAGTCCAAATCTTCCAGCTCCTCGATCTCGTAGTGGTCGGGGCCCTGGGCGTTTGAACCTCATTCTCGACACTGTCCTGCATGGTGGTCCACCAATCACACTCTTGATGGCCCCCTTTCTTGCCAAATTGGCCAGGAAACCCCATAGGCCCGGATTGTGAACATCCTGATCCTTGCCCTTGGTGATGTCCAGGGTGATCACTTCCCAGCCATCCTGTTCCAGCCTTCGCCATTCCTCCGCCTTCTCCCCCGCATAGAGGTGTAGCAGAATCTTCTTCGACTGTTGCAGTCGCCTTCGTGTACCTCGATTCCAAGGTAGTGTGCCTGTTGTGGATTCCTGACTTTCCGACATGTAGCGAAACACTCGGGAAGGCACCTGAGGGAAGCGTCTTTTCCACCACCCCATGATGTCCTCGTCCAGGTTCTCCTCATCATTCAGGTCTTCTACCTTTTTCCGCTCCGCCTCCTCAATGTCCGCGATGAGGGCCAATGCGTCCGCTTCCGCCACCACCGGGCACCCATCTCGCAACCACGAGGAGATTTTTCCCCTTTTGGGATGCACCACAACACAGCCACTTCGGCTCCACTGTAGTTTGTAGCCCAGGTCAATCAAGCCCCGAACTGGAACAATAGGCTCAATGCCTCCTTCAACCAGAATGGTACCAGTCACCGGATCTTGTTTGAGCGACACACGACCATGCGCCAAGTCCACCGGCACCAATTCAGCCTTTTCCAACTCATCGGGAAGTCCTGTCCGGAGAGGATGTGTTGCCCCACCATCCAGTAGTCCCACCTTGAGGTCAGGGTCACCTTCACCACATAGCGACGCCCCAACTGACTTACATTTCACGGCCATGAGCTTTGCCCGATGCAGTGACTTCAACAGCGCCGTCGCCTCACCCACCAAGCCTCCCACCGTGTTCACCTCCCCCAGGCGTAGACCTCGACCCAGTAGGCGCTTCCTCAACCGTTGCCGTCGTCCCTGGTGAAGTTGAAGCATTGGCCTCCTCCTCCAAGACTCCAGCACGCTCCGGCTTTTCCGGGCTGTTTATGTTGCTTCCCCCTTTGACCTTCGCCACCTTGACCGCCTCTTCTCCCTTCCCCTCCTTCTTCAAGAACGGGCAGGCTGTGCGACTGTGGTTCAAGCCAGAGCAATGAAAGCACCTGTTGTTCTTGGGACTCAAACGATGGTGCTTGAACTTGCACCGATCGCCACGCCGACACCCTTTTTCGGTCATCCAAAACCTGCAGGTGTCTTTGTCACCGGCGACATTCTCACGTTGTTCCCCCACCGAAGGACTCGTCCAGGACGTGGATGAAGTTCCGGAAGTAGGATTGGTAGCCACTGCTTTCAATGACGGACCCTTTCCCTGTCCCACTCCAGTTCCTGACCCCATCGCTAGCTCTTCCGCCTCCGCCTGTATAGGAACTCCGCGAAGATCTTGAGATTGTCCGACGTAGGCCTGGTGTCGATCAGCAACTGCTGTCTGCTCGTCGCCAGTCGATAGGCCACCTGAGCTCCAGACTTCGCCAAATGGTCCGAAGCCTTCACCAACACCCCTGCAAGGACCACTGGACCCGGAAGAAGCACCCCCAACTCCTCCGAGCGATTCCACCAACGCCGCCAGGTTCGAAGGACCTGCACCACGTCGCCCATGTTTTGGGTAAGTTTGAGCTCGGTCAAGTTCTTAATGAGGTTCATTCGTTCACCTTGTCCTCCAGGTTGAAATTTTATGTAGAGGATGAACAATACCTGAGCAACTGTCATTTTGCGAGCCGTGATGACCTCAGATTTCACAGTGTCAGGCACCGCTTGTAGCAACAGGCTGAGCATCCTTCTTTCGGTCCGAGGCCATTTGTTCGCCTCTTCCGCAGGCGCAGGGCCAAGACGCAAGCGCTGGAGAGGATCTGCCACCAACCACGCTTCGTAGGCCTGCTCCACATTCTTTAAGGTCAACTGCCACCATTGGCTGGCCCCTTGGCTGATCTCCGACACAATGGGCTCCAGGGTAGTCAACCAGTCGCCAAACGTCAGCGCCGTGGCATCCAAGCCCAGCACTGGCAATTCCACCGACCGAGCGTTGTCGCCCAGTGATTCCTCAGCTGGCATCCACATGCCATTTGCACTTGATGGATGTGCATGGGAAAAATGCCACACACACCATTTCCCCATCAGGGCGATAAGGCCATGGATATGCTACTGACCCCACGCCTACGCCATTGGGACCCACATTGACTATGGGTGCAGTGGTCTTCACATCTCCAGCAGCTTCTCCACCTGGTTGAACTCGATCACCTTGGACTTTGCCTCCAGGAGCTTCCACTGCCGATTGGAACGACGAGTTCGAGCTCTGTTGCCCCAATTTGCGAACTTCTTCTTGGAATTTCGCTTCGGCCTCCTTCAGACATAGCTCACGAAGACGTTCGACTTGATCGCCGCCATCACGAGGTTGTTGACCTTGTCCTCGAGGATCGCTTGGACGAGCTTGATCATGAAGTTCCCTCATCTTCTCTGCGGACCAGGGATTCAGTGGTGAGCTCTTCACAGAACCTTTTGTCTCTTCGAGAACCCGTTCACGACCACCACCATTTTCCCGAGGATCAACTCCCCCAGGTCCCTTCACCGATGCACCTCCTTCAGTTAGTTCTTCTCGACGTCCTTGAGGCGCCACCGGCAACTGGTCTGCAGAAATTCCAGTCCCCCACATTCCAGGGTACGGTTGCTCCAAACCTGCGAGCATCCCCCAAGCTTGTTCTTGTACCGGTTGGAGTAGAGAAGTCATGCCCCCACCACCATCGCGCCCTCCGGCTTGTCCAGGATCGGCTGGCGCAGGTAGAGCTGGTTGTAGCCCACCCACCATAGGCACCTGTGGAAAGGTTGGCAAAGGCGGAACCATCGGCATGAACACCTGCGGGGGGCCTCGAGGCCCCAGTTCTCGATGATCTTCTGGCGCAGGTAGTGCCCTTTGTTCTTCCACCTGTCTTCTCTCCGCCGGCGTATTTGTCACCGCTGCATAGGATGTTCTCTTCAGGGATGGTGTCATCGTTCTGCTCGGCTCCAAGCTCTGTGCCCTTCGAGGCTGATCCCTCGCGGCTTCCAGCATGGCGTCCAGCTGTTCGTCAGCCGTTGGTGTTTTCGATCTTCTCCTCCGAAGCGTCGTCGATGTCATGGCATCACACGGTTGGGCTCATAACCCATGGGAGTAGCGTCACGTTCGTGTGTGCGGTCCTTTTCTTGAGCCAAACGTTGTGGCGGTTTTTTCGCCAAGTTTGTTGTGGGTCTCACGTGGTCCATGCTTGACGACTCACGGAAACAAAAGGATTTTTGCCGCACTGCCAGGCACTGCCCGGCACTGCCGGGTACTGCTCCTGCCTCATCCAAGCAAACCCCATTCCGATTCCCGGAGCGGGCTGGCAACTCACAAGAAGCTCCTGGTGCGAACCGGCCAAGCAGTGTTTTTTTCCCCGACACCCGACAAGTATATTGCAAACAAAATGCAACCAATGAATCCCTTTACGAACGCACTGAAGGCAAAGAACATTACAGAGAAACAATGACACCGTTGAAACATGTTGAGAACATTTGAGAAACGTGTTGAAACATTTGGCAGCTAGGCTACGGCACGGCTTGACACAGCTTTATGTTCCACAACATTCCACAGTAGGCATGAAGACACTCTGAATGCCTTACGCAAAAGGCCACTGCGCTATGATGTTGAGGTCACGGAGAGTGGCAAACCATATTTGTGTCGCACTTTCTGGAGCTGCACAGGGTGTCTCGCCTCCAAGGTGTCTCGACCTCAGGGTGCTGAAGTTGCACGCTGCTGCTCAGTCGAAAAGGAAACATGCACGTGTTTCTTCGTTTTTCTACTTGTTGGACATTCTGGAGGGCCGCGTCATTCGTGCTGGCTGCTTCAACTCTGTGGACCCTGAACTGGTATATGAAATCATATGCAATGATCGTTGAACCATTGATGACATCATCCCTTCTACCTACTACCTCTTGTTCTGCTTCGACGTCTCCTTTTGGTTGATCAATGACGGCTGCTTCTGCTCAGATTCAAGTCGCCGAGCTCCCACAAATTCAAGGGACACTAAGTTGAGGCCCACAGGCTTCTTGGATGGTAATGGTCTTGTGCAGTTCTATTGTGTTGAATGGCCTCAATTGATATCAAATTGATATGAACTGAACTGATTGCCCGCCAACCAAGCAACTATTATACACTTGGAATCCAAACTCAAATGAACTTCAAGCAACCAACCTTGAAATAAATGCCAGGAACAGCTTTGAACAAAGACTTTCACATCATTTGGCCACACGGATGGAGACTAGTACCAAATAGGCTGCCCCACCACTCTCTGGGCTCCAAATGTGTTAGTTCAGGTGCTCGGCCGGAAGGGTCCTGAGCAAGCGGGTCCATGGTGTCTTGATGAATCACGTCTGGTCTGAGTCCGTGCCTCGAACGTTGCAAATGCTGCCACACAGGCAATAAGGTTGAATCGCCACATGGGATCGTTTAACAGAGGGTATGACTTGATCTGGTGGGTTTGATCAAGAAGTCTGATAAGAGCTTTTGGAGCAATGTTTCGGGATATTTGCTACGACTTTATCCGAGGACTACCCATGGACATCCGCGGACGCTCGTCACTCTCTGCATCATCTCACAGGTTGGATAACCTTGCAAGTATGTCAACCCCATAGTTCGGTCTGATCATTATGCGTCTCGTGGACAGCTGCAAGTAGTCTCTGCTACTGCAGCTTGAGCACTGCTCCGGCAATGTGTGTGTGTGCGCATGTCTCCTTGAATGCATTAGGCTGGATGATCTGCTTTTCTTCACCATATAGTGGTGACACAAATGAATGAATACATCACACTGCTGCGCCAGCACTTTGGTTCTTTTTAAACGCAGCTGTTTCACTCAGTCAACTGCCTCAAACTTGGCAGAGTCCTCAGCCCGCGTTGAATGCCAATCAATGTCACGAATGCAGCAATCTCTGCATTGAATCCAAAGTAACTAAAGGTTATCTAAAACATATCACAACGTAGAACACAAACACGCAACGAGTTTTGTTCAGCTCCTTACAAAACTACTAAACGGCTTAAAACTTGGGCATGCTTGCAGTATGATTCAGGTCGCTCACACCGGTATCACTGGTACAACAAAGGGACCATGACAAACAGCATGATTTAGTGTTTAAATGTGTTTATATAAAGGGTTTTTACTCACTCACGTTCTTGCTGACCCCAGCTGCCTGAAGCTTGCAGCCAACTCCCAAAGACCTAGCAGCACTCAAGTCAGAAGACACTGGCATGTACAACATGCCCATAGCTAAACAAACATCCTGGCCTAAGTGAAAATCGCTTCGCAAGCTCACAAGAAGTGCTGCAGAAAGGGCAAAGGTCAATTGAAGTTCAGCATTCGACACAGAAAATGGTCTACGATGGTTGACGTAGATCCAGTAAGACAAAACGAGAGTAGAACCACGGACACTTGCTGTCTCATTCCTTGACAGCTTTCATTCACCTTGTTTGGTCTGTTCTGGTACACCAGTGCAGGCACTGCTCCTGGTAAAGCAAGAAGAGTACTATGTCTATGTCAGCCGTTAGTCAAATAGCTTCCTCTATCGACGATGACGACGGTTTGTTTCGGCAATACACTCGTGAAGGCCTTACGAACGCAGTATCAGCATCGTCTGAGTTCGCTTGCTCCTCCTTCGCTGCAAGTACAACAAAAGCGCTCTAACAGCTGTTGGGGCCAACAACCTGTCACTCTCGAGTGAAATCTTGGCGTATTTGATGCGAACATACGTTAAATCATGTTATAGTAACAAGAAGCTATTAGGAACAAGTGCCACACTAGTAGTAACAAGTGCCTTACTAGTAGTAACAAGAAGCTATTAGAAACAATATCTCACAAGTCCTGCAAAACTGCGAACACACAGCCAACCAACGTCGGATGAAGAGGCAAAAGGCCTGCTTAAGAATTCAGCAGGGGGGGTGGAAAGTAGCATGTCTTCACAATGCGGCCTGCTGAGATGCGGAGACTTCAAGCGCTTCAGTCTCTCTGAAGAGTTCTTCGACTCCAAACTCCTTGGCGACTCGGCGCTTGGCAGTGGGTGAACTGATAGGCAGTTCTTATTGCGGCTTCCTTTTGGCACTTATATACTCCAGGTGATGGCATGGAGTCTGAAACAACACTTTCGATCTGAATCTATCGGATCAAGTGGCTGTGCAAGGCGTCAACGTGGTAACTAGTGTGGATTGTGTGATAGTCTGCGTGTCACTGTGTTGTATCAGAACAGCCGCAAACACTCGCCAGGTCTTTCCAGTCTGCAACTCAATTCAGAATCTACCTAAATGGATGTTGTCTGAACTTTTCCTCTGCTGCAGCAAGGCCACGTCATCTGGCATCTTGAGTTGAGAAGTTGTGACTTTGAACTCCTCAAACTCTGCATCTGTCAGCAAGCACTCTTCCAGAAGCCCAACCTTGCCAAGGTCAAACAGTGGAACCAACATCTGGCACACCTTTCGGAAAGCAACTGCTGAGTTTCAGCCATTACAAATCGCGGGGAGTTCACGTGCTCTTCGGACCAATATGCATTAACGTGCACGTCCAGAGCTGTGAGCGGCATTCTACTTTGGGCTTACGAAGCAGCGGCATTCTACTTTCGCTGCATTCTGAAATGATATAGATTGAAGAGCGGGGACAGGGCTTGGCCCAAATAGTCATCAAACCAAAAGGCTTGGCGCAACATCCCTGATCATGCTATGATTTGTGATTTGTGGAACAAACGCAACTCATGGTTCTTGCCAACTTTATCTTGGCAAAAACCAGTGAAAAGCGGTGAATGATGGCAATAGGTCAATGTGCTGGTTGCGTCCGGACGTGACAAACACAAAGTCTGCTGCAAGTTCCAGGGAACAATGGTCTCCTCCACCATTTCGGACCCTCCAATGAAAACCAGTTCTTGCCTCACGGTCAGATTTCAACAGCTCAGCCATCTGGTTCTGCTCAAGCTTCACAACATTCGATCAAGTGCGTAAAATTAACAACTGAATGTTGGCTACAACTAGCACGTGTTCTTTGTTCCTTGAAGCTGTGGCAACAAACATTCCCATTGCCTGCAGTCTCCCCACTCGTGATGCCACTTTTGCTGCAGTTCCCTGAACTCAGCCTCCGCTCCTGAAGTGGCACAAGCAAAGCAAACAACTTGAAACGCCATCAATTTTGGTGTCTTCTGTAAATTCATCTAAATTCCATTACAATCAGGCAGGGAAATTCAGGGACTGAGAAACATCCAATCACTGTATTCTCCCCTAAATGTGGTCCCAATCCAATCAAATCAATGAATCTGTTGGGCTTTGACATGGCACCATGAAAGTTGAGATGTGCTGCAAGGACAGCCACAAAAGAACTTCTAAACAATAATTCATGGGCAATGCGACAATCTATTATAATGCGACAAAGGAGCCGTGCCGCACAAAAACAATACTGGGTTCGATCCCACCACCCATCCTCTGTCCTCCCATCCCTAGTCCTGGATAACTCAATCGGAATCTTCTCTGCTCCGAGTTGAGCGGCTGCCACCAGTAGTCCTCCGGCGCGCAGCTCACGCAGCGCCCGGCCTGGGACCATCGAAGGCAGCGCAGTGGCTCTGTAGTGGACCAAGCAAAGCCTGCGTCAATTGGCTCCGTCCATGGGCCAAAAATCAGGACATCTGCTACTATCTCAAAGGACATAGCCTCGCTTTTTGGCTCGTGATCCAGGACCACGGACCAAATAGAGTATTTTGATGATTGAAATACCAGCGGCTGTGTGGAGTTCGGGGATCTTTCAAACTCCTATGGAGACTGCTACAGCTCGAACACATCTCAAAATGTCTAGTTGTTCCATTTTGTTCTTGAGTGTTAGTTAATATGTTGTCCTGGATTGGGTGCTTGTTGAAAGCTGACCATATAATCTTACAGAATTACGGGACAAGTACCACCGTGAAGACAAACGACAAGCGCCTTTTGAGCGCAGCACTCCTTGCAGTGCTGCCTGGCTAGTGGAATCAACTTCAAGCACCTGCAGCGGTAGCAAAGTCCGAAGTGTTCTTGCACATCACATGCACGTGTCCAACAGGACTTCCAATTGCTCGATTAAGATTCAATAAGATCCTGCGCCAACCCGATCTGAGCCACGACTGAACCACGGGGCCAAACGGGTCTCCAAAACGGCTGACCTCTTGTTCAATGTCAAAGCTGCAGGACAGCGCATCCTCCCAAGAACAACTTCAAGATAGGTCACCCAAGCCCAAATCAGCCCAAAGCAAAGTATTAAATGCCTAGTTGTTGATATTCATGGCGATTTGCTCTGAACTTTTCGCTGTCGTCTTAGAACCCCTCGTTGATTCTCCTGCCACTCTTCCAGGAGATGCTGCAGCCGCTGACCGTGGAAGGGTCTCCGCCGTTGGAACACGAAGCTCCAAAAGGGTCTCCCCTGGAAAAGTCGTTGGAGTCAACAAGAGTCGAAACAAGAGTCAAGACAGAGTATGTAACAGAATGTCTTCAAAAGAAAGTCCCAAGCAATTCTCAAGTGATCACAATTGGATTTATAACAAATCACATTTCGTTGTATGCAAAATTATGTTAAATAAATGGTAGCATGCCAGGACCCTTCCTGTCTTGCTATGTGTTGTCAAACTCTTGCCACTCTGCTAGGCTTTCAGTGATTTGCACCCCGCCTCTTCACTTGCTATCCTGGTATGACACAGGGCCAAGGCGGCCAATGCAATCGCAGAAAGGCGACCACCGTCCGAAAGTTCCACCGAGAGACCAAGAGAAACACATGAAAAAACGGTCCTGTCGTCTACGAGCCCGTTGAAGTTTGGCAACCAGTTTTTGCACGACACCATTCATGTTGCCCTCTGCACAAGATCCAGGATAAATCTTTCCAAGGTCACCCCATCACGAGAACAAGAACTTGGGGCTTGCAATGAATCTATGTAGGTATGTCACCAGGCCAAAATTCTGAACTCGACAGTACCAGTTTCAGATCGGCAACTGGTCATCGGAATGCCTCACAGGCTTGGCTTGGAAGCAATGGCCATTGCAATGCTGGTGGCCACAAGCAGGAACACCTAGAGCCATCAAACGTGTCCTAGCCAGTGGATGAGTTTAGGATATTGGCAATCCTTGGAACTTGAGTTCCAACCCTAAAGGGACACTGATTCATCCAGTTGGATATTATCTTGGTGCTAAAACATCTGCCCTTCGTGGAGCAGTTGGGGAAAGTCCGCCCGCATCGAAGGTGCCGAGGCGCTTTTTCTGTTGCATGCGGCAAAGGCAAGCATTGATTGGCTCAATAGCTTTAGCTAGGAAAGGAAATTTTTGTGCTAGAATCATGTGTTTTTCCACGTTTTCTGATATGGTCCAATCGCCGAACATAGGTCCCATCTTGGCCAAACATAGGCCCAACATAGGCTCGATTGGGCGTCACATAGGGGGGGGCAATTTTGCTCTAAAACAATATTATGTTTTTTCAACGTTTTTGAATATCGGCAAGTTGGTGAACATAGGTCCCATCTTGTGCAAACCAAGGCCTAACCTGGGCCCATAGGCCTAAGATAGGCTCAACACTGCCCAACATGGGGCCAAAATGGACCTAACATGAGCTCAACATAGGCCCGATTTGGCATAACATAGCGCTCTTGGCTAAACATAGGCCCAACCAAGATAGGCCCAACATGGCTCAACATATGCCAAAATGGACCTAACACATAGCCCCATAGGGTCCAACATAGGGGG